ATTTAACAAGTCGCATGCAAACCGTGGACAAGAAAACACCTGATCATAAACGCTCACATACCAAGGTCAATATCTGTAAATCCCTCTGCATTTATTGCATCTGCTGTGCTTTTGTCGATGGTGTCTAAGCAGAGACTGGCGAGCTGAGGCTCATCAAATAACCTGGCCTGTAACAAGACCACAAAAGTATCCATGTAAGTGTCGATTCTGGTCATTTATCTTGAACGCAGCAAAGGAGGGTATCGAATTTACCCCCAAACACGTTAGAACAAGCAAAAACAAAACTGAAAGTTTAATGCAAACACTAAAACAATCCAAGTTGGGTGGAACCTCATAATGCTAATGAATAAATCTCCCAAACCACCACTGCTAATAAAGAAAACACTGCTCAGAATATGGTTGCTTTAGCTTATTTACAGTATTGTTTATAGTTTTGTTCTAGTTGCTGCTGAGACCTTTTCTACCCCCCAATCAGATTCAGTAGCAGCCTGAGGGCACAGCAGCCAGCCACTGAACAGAATGCTGAACCCAAACAAACGGCAGCATAAACCAAAAATAGAACAGCTAATGTTGTAAAAGTCCTGCCAGCGATGGCTGGGAGGTGGTCTGGTGCTGACACACACACACACACACACACACACTTAAAAGAAATACAGTTTATCTCTAACTGTAAGAGCTGCTGTTGAACAGACGGTAAGAGCAATGCCAGATTTTCATTAGATTTTTTTTAACATATTGCCTGGAAAATGCATTAAAAAAAAATACACATAGCTGATATTAAAACCCTATTCATGCCCGCCATTAAAGAAATCTGACTCTTTGTAGACTACATAAATCTGACTATTTATATCTAGTGCCATCGAGGATGGTTCAAAACCAAGCAAGTTAACTTGCAGAATTAAAAGGAATATTTCAACATTAAAAATTTCACAAACCGAAAGTACAATCCAGGCCATCTGGATCTCTCAGTTTTAACGTAAAGGATGCACTATAGTCGAGGAGAGTGAAAGTAACCTGAGTGAGAAGCATAAATGCGTTGTCAGCTCTGAGATGTTTGGTGAGGAACTCCACGCAGTGCCCCTCCAGAGCAGGGACCGCATACTTCTTAGCCGTGTACAGAGTCGTCATCACCGTCTCGGGACCAATGTGGACCTCGTCAGAATAGAGGAACCTGTAGAGAGGAAACAGGCACCAGAACAAAGGGAACAATTACATTTTCATAGTTATTCTACGTAAATTCTTAATATTTGTAGGCCATGCTAAGATGGAGGTGCCTCAACATTTTGAGTTACAAGGAACAAGTTCATACAAACATCACTACTCATTTGGCATAAACTGAAATGGTCCTCTAGATAATCACAACAGTTCTTTACTCATTATTAGCTTGAATCACCAGACACCCTGAGATACGATACTATCACAATATTTCCCTCATGATTTGCTATAATTGTAATTTTTACCATTTTGCAATAAGCTGAGTATTTCAATAACATATACAGTTATTTATTACCTAAATATATCATCAAAGTATATATTTTATCCAATAACATAAAGTTATGTGCTTCAGTTATTTTTCTGTTGCAAAATGAGATTGTCAAGCATAACAACAATGTCACTAAAATCATCCATCAATGTTGCCCTTCTGTGATTGAATGGGGTCAAGTTGGCAATTATATACTTTGTCCAGCTGAGTGTGTCCATCATTTGTGGTGATAGTTGTGTTTTTTTTTTCAGTTGAGCCCATTTATTGCTTGGCTAGCATTATTTTCTCCTGCACCACCATCCTAAATCAGAATCAGAATTATAATTTAGGATGGTGGTGCAGAAGATAAGCCCTCTTCTTAGTAGAGTAGTATTACAGGGTGTTTTCATGTACTTATTATTTATCTGTTTATTTTCATTCATCTAATAAAATATCGATATTTGGTGTCCCTGCATCGATACAATATCGTGAAACTGTACTGTATCGCTATACCCTCCCCCACCCACCCCTTCTAATTATTAGTTTCTTAGCAGTTCGTATTTGAGTTTTTACCTTTCAAATTCTTTAATTTGAAAGAAAAGGTCTGAAGGTCACTTTGCTGTGAGACCTCTAAAATCAGGAAGTCAAATTAATAAGTGATAAACTGTTTTTAATAGAGTAGGTTAGAGCGAGGTTTCGTATTTTTCATTAGGGTTAAACATGAGAAATCCCCTAAAAACAATATGGTGGGCCACATAAGCGCCTTGACTTTGATTAACTTTTAAATGCTGTTTTTAATGTTTATGTACACTTTGATCATGAGGTATGCATGAGGTTTTTACCACCCGGAAATAGTGTGGTACTAGGTGGTCTCGAATGCAGGCAGGGCTTGGGGTTCACCTGTCCTACCTGAGCAGCGCGAGGAAGGCGGCCGGCTCCACATCAGGCAGCTCGATTTCAGCAGAGGTCGTGGCCATCCCACCGTTAAACATGGCATCAAAAACGGCACTGCCAGCGGCCAGGACGAACTTATGGGCCGGTATCCTCTGGGCCTGTCTTCCTTTCCCGACTATGAACCTGACGTCGCTGAGAAGCTCGTTGTTGAAGAGGAAGGCGAAGCGCTCCTTTAGGGACCTCTTCGTCGCCTGCCAGTTGTACATGGGCTCCCGGTGAAGGCCGAGGACGGGCGGGGAGCCGGACGGGGTAGGAGCGGAGGCTGGGACGTTGGAGAGCGCTGCTGGTGCTCCGCAATGAGCCGAGTTGGATGCTGCCTCCTGACCGTCATGGTTTGACGGCAATCCGCCACCACTGCTCCCGGTCGCCATAACGACACACTGTTTTTCAGTGTACTTTCACAGAAACGGCCTCGTTATTGACACGCAGACACGCACTCGCCGTAATGTTTTTGTTGTTATTCATTTACGTGGTATCCATCGCAGCAGACGCCATCACTCATCACTAGCTACCTGCTAGCTACAGAGTCTCCGGAAGTGGCGTGGGTATACTTCCTCCAAAATATTTTTTTTGTCCTGAAACTTTATTGTTCACTTCTAGATAAAAAAAAAAAAACGAACAAAGAAAAAACTTGAACAGTGTCTTAACATACAGATTTTTTTCCTTCTTTTTATCTATATGACCGTTTTGGGCACAATACAATCGGCTAATATGTTAAATAGAATAGAATTAAAATAATAAAATTCTTATTAAAAGCAGCATTTACATTCAAACGTGGACGGACGTGTGAGCAAAAGACACTACACTCTATTTTTTAATTTTTTAAATATTTTTTGATCATTACACAATTGGCGCATTAATTCAAACTTAAAATGTAAACAAATAAATAAATACATGTGTAATTTATAAAAAACAAATAATAAGCCATTAAAAATTTATTTATAAAGGTCAGGCATCAATTGTAAACTTTTTATCAGATATTAGCTGCTGTATTCTATAATTTTTAAAACCCTTTTTTAATTATTAAACATAAAGTTAAAAATTGTCCCTCGTACTAAATACTCATTCAGTATTTATTGGCAAATATTTGCTTGAATACCCTATTCACTATAGTTATTCAAACAATTACAAAGCATATAGATCAACCCTCTGTGAACTAAGAGACTCATTTATGATTACTTTATTATAAATGTTATGCCAAAAGGGTTGAAATTGGAGTAATATGGCTGAAGGGGTATCTTACTTTTATTTGTAGCTCATGACATAAATGACATAAATAAATACTCAGGACCACCAAAATACTGATTAATAATATTTTATATGCGTTTAACACATGTTTGTAATACTTGTTCTATATGCATGGTAACAGTGTTACAAATCGGTGCTACGATTAGTGTTTTCTTAGAAAAAAGATGCAGCTGTGAATTGCAATAGACTGTGAATTAATAAATGCAGGTGTACTAATAAAGAAATAAAACGCTGAAATGTAATTGTCTTCTTTTGGCTAGTGAAACACTTAACCCAGTCAGAAAAGATTAGAAAATGCTAAATATGTCAAAGAAGACTGACGTTTTGTCGACCAGTGGTAGCTATCAACACATGGATGAAAGTGCCACTTCATCTTTGTCATGTTGTCTCATGGTCTCACTGCTTGTCTATTCTTTTGTCAGGTCGAATAGGTTTCAGTAACAGGACTGTTAGATTCTTCTTTAAAATATGTCAATGTTTAATAAATTGGTTTAAAAATCACAAGAGACGCTACAAAACAAAATGATGGATTTATAACTTATTTTAAATCGTATATTTGACATGTATTTGGTTTTCAAGAAACTAGCCAAAGTGAAAAATGCAATTTAGGTTTTCTCAAGAATAATATCTTTGGATACTTGTTTTCAACAACTGGGTTTAAATTTAGTCTCAGAACAAAAGTAATTTACACACCAAATGTATGTTTTAGTATGTTGTGCTTTTTTTTTTGTTTTATCCACTTTTCTTTATTTTCCTATTATAAACCTCCTCATCCTTGCTTGACGTTTTCCAGTTGACCGCGGGGTGTCAGTGTCTCTTCGTTAAAAACAAACACACAAACAAACAAAACCGGTTTTTTCACAGATGGTATAATATATATTTTTGTTAAGCACAGTGAAGCTGCCCGAGAAAAAACATCTTAATTTTTCATTTAGGACGAATATAAAGTTGTGGCGTCCCTGTCCTATTTTGTTATTTTGTAATTTTTTGTATTTTTCATGGACTATCATATAAATTCATTTGCACAGCCTCTATATGTATTATTTTACTATTCCCTCCAGCTTAGTATTTGGATGTATAGAATAATATGAATGAATGAAAAAAATCGCCACTTCCATCAAATCAGAGATTAAAAAAAAAGCAAAAAAAAGTTTCAAAAAGAAGAAGAAGAGAAAGGCACGAGAATTGTTAATTTACTACATTAAGTTCTGCAGAAAGTCGGGGTTTTTTTTACGTTTCTTTCCAGGTGAGGGCCCGCCCCCACCATCTGAAAGCTGAAGCTCGTTTGAGTGTAGTGCATGTGTAGGTAAACAGAGAAAGAGAGAGAGGAGAGCAGGCAGACAGACCAGACAAGATTGAGCATGCATGCGGGAGCCGAGCTCAAAGTTTCTTTTTTTTTTTTCCGGCAACACTCTGACTTTCCTCCCATCCTGTGAAATGTGACTCGCAAGCTAAGCATGAACATTTTCTGGGGCTGATTTGTTTAATTTAAGATTTTAAGTTCTCGCTCAGACAAATCGCTCGGTGCGCAATGAGCGCGTCTGCGGGAACGGGAGTGTTCCTGCTCTCCCTGATGTCTATCCCCATCTGCTATTTATTCAATTCTCTCATTTACAGCAACAGGTACGTGGAAACTGGTTCACATATTAACTGTTGGAATTCCGACTTCCACCATCAGCAGCGAGGAGTAGCTACTCTGAGAATCATTTATCTGCTTTTTTTCCCCATGCAGTGCTGAAGCTTTCTTCTTCGCTTGGTGCACAACAGTTCTTATTCTGGCCATTTCAGCTCGTTTTATGCTTAAAAAGAAGGCTCCAGTAGATCCACTTTTTTATGGTAGGATTTCTCAAATGCACGTTTCTTGCTTTGACCAACAGCGACCGAGGGAAGTGTTCATTACAGATCAAAGCTCGAGTTAGGACTTTCTGCATATTGTACCTATAAAAACCTGTTGCAGTATTTAGAAAGCAGTGATTTTTAAAGCAGCACGTAATGTTTGCAAGTTGTCCTGTCTTTAATTAGAAATTAATATATCAAATATACATCTGTGAAGTGTATGCAGTGCATGCATTCCTCAGTGTGGTGAATCTGATCATTGGACTGGAGCAAGACAACATCATTGATGGATTTGTGACATTTTACCTCAAAGAGGCAAGTGTTGCTCTATTGTGTCCAGATTATGAATGCCCCCACTTCCTCACAGTTTTACTGATAAATCTACATCGTGTTTCAGGCAGATCCACATGTCAACACAGCACATGGGCACATGATATCGTACTGGGATGGCTGCGTGCACTATCTCATGTATCTGCTTATGATTGCTGCAATAACTTGGGGGTAAGAGCTGTCTTGTTTCCAAGGTTATTCACCACAGCTGCATCACTAAGTAAGGAAAATATTTGCCACTTAATCCCATCCATATTATACTGTTTGATAAGATAAGCTTGATAATGTATCTATATACCTAATTCTTTGAAACTACAATATGATCATCTGGCTTTGTTACATGGTTTGGGCAGGGACAATTACAGAGCTATTGGACTCTACTGGGTGGGATCTTTTCTCATGCGTGCAATGGTCTACATTCTTGGGAATGCTGTCGGTAAGTACACTAAAAATAATGGGATGCTTTTAGATAGCCTGTGTAGGGTAACCCACATTCCCCCCCCCAACAACACACACACACACACACACACACACACACACACACACACACACACACACACACACACACACACACACACAGAGAGACTTTTATATCCCGTTTGCTTACAGGGATTTAAACTAGATCATTTCTGATCTAGTTTTTCCCCTCATTTTTCCCCAGGAAAGTATGGGACTCACGTTGGCCCTCTCTTCATCCTCCATTTGTTGTACATCTCAGTGTCAGTGTGGGCTTGCTTCCGCATCTTTTGTCAGCCTTCTGCACGAGACGTTGAGCTATCAGTAAGAACCTGACCGCCGCCGCTCTCACAGAGAAAACACCTACTTTTATTGCCCTTAGTCCAATCCATCAGTGAGTCCGTCTCAGGTGTCTGTGAGATTATTCTGACGAGTAATTACCACCACAGAAACAGTGCAAAAAAAATGTATGGGCACATTTCTCAGAGTCATTATAAGTTAGGCAAATATGTCTTTGATAGTAGATATATTTAAACATAACTGAAGTTTAAACAGATGCCCATTTATTGGTGACATTTCTTTCTGAAGGGCAGCACAGTGGCAAGGTGGTTAGCACTGCTGCCGCACAGCATCAGCATCAGGCTGGGGTCTTTCTGTGTGGAGTTTGCATGTTCTCCCTCCGGGTACTCCGGCTTCCTCCCACAGTCCAAAGGCATGCAGTTTGTGGGGATAGGTTAATTTGTTAATCCAAATTGCCCATAGGTGTGACTGTGGGAGTGAATGTGAGCGCGAATGGTGTCTGTCTCTGTGTGTTAGCCCTGCGACAGACTGGCGACCTGTCCAGGGTGTACCCCGCCTCTGTGAAATAACTGCGATCTACCTTATATCCACAAGGTAAGGGTTAAAGTGTCTTATCTGCTGGAAACACATCCATACTTTGCATCTGCAAATGTTAGTGTTGCTGTTGTGTTCTCAGGACATCGAGGAGGCTCACAGGGCAGGCTTGCTCCGCAGACCTGTGGACTTGGTATTCATCATCTACCTCATTCCAGCGCTGGCTTTCTGTGTGTTCAGAGGCCTGGTAAGAAACCTCATGGTAATCGGCTTGCCCAGCTCTAGATTACTTTCTTAGCGTTGGGTGTCTCTCACATATCAAACTGTTATGTTATGTGTTCGAGGTTGTTCTTGACTGTTCCAGCAAATGGTGCCAAGACTACACACAACAGTATGAACCATACCTCAAAGACCCTTCAGCCTACCCTAAAGTACAGGTAACACGGTGACAGTAAACACTCCAAAAACGTCACTCTAATGCTGTAATGTTAAGCCACATATCTAAAAAAGTAAACTGTGTCTCTGTTTGACAGATGCTGGTGAGCATGCTGTATTCTGGGCCCTACTACATCATTACTCTGTATGGGCTGTTGGTCCCAGGATGTGACTGGATGCCAGACCTGACTCTTGTACACTCAGGAGCATTGGCACAGGTACTGTTGATCTCCGTATACAATGAGGGGCCCCTCACAAGTTAGAAACACCTAACGTCTCTAACTTGTTCCGAATATCTGGAAACCAAATGTGTAAGTGATGAAAGGGTTGCCAGGTTTTAAAAATGAAAGTCATGTGAAAGAGTCGTTTACAGTCTTTTGTTTTCCCACATGACATCATAGATCCGGGTAGATTATGTAATGTTACACAGAGACTGAGAGCCGGCTTCTGGCCAGTTCGGTAAACTTTCTCCTCTGTAGTGATTGCAAGTTGGTCTTTGTTTAGTGTACTCTTCAGAGCTGACAGACTCCAGTGGCTCTATTTACATCTAAAGATGGAAAGGGAAGAGTTGTGGGAGCGGCTATCGCGCTGATCACATCTCCACTGCACAATGCAGCCGTTGTGTTTGAGCTGCAGGCTGGCGCGTCACTCATCGGCAGGATAAGGGCAGAAGCTGACTTCAGACCAAGAGGAATGGTGGTATTGGTGGTATTCACTTAAATGTCAGCTGTTCAGCCAGGATATAAATAGGAAGGTTGATCCTTTGGCAGCCTTGGTTGCTATGAAACATGTCATGTGTCAGCAGCTTTCTACGAAAAGGTAAATGACAGAAGTGTATTAGATTGAAAATCATATGAAGATCAGTGGTGGTGCCAGAATGCAGGCATCGTCAGTCCAGTAAAGGAATAATTCACTCCAAAACAGCTGTTACTTTGTTTTTGTATGCTTCAAATGGGTTTCCTGTGTAAGCCCTTCTTGCTCTGTTATTGTAGATAGATCATTGCTTCCAGCAAGAAAATGTGGGCTTTAGCATCACAAGATTTCCTATAAGATTTATGACTTTGAACTGATGTTTAATTTACTAATACATGATAATAAGACAATAATGTGCCCAAATGTCTCACTATCCCAGACCACTGAGATTCTGTGGGACAAAACAACAACTAAAAATCTTAGTTATTATAGTTTTTTATTTTCTATTATTTTCTGTTTTGATTTTTTTTTTAAATTCAGTTTAGTTTCAGTTAGGATATTTCTGCTATATTCTTATTTTATTTTTGTTAGTTTTCCAACTTCACAAAACAATTGCAGTTATTTTAATATTTGGTTTTTATTTCTGTTAACTAACATTTTTCTACTTTTGGTTTTTAGTTTGGTTTTAGTTAACTATATTAACCCTGGTCCTGACATCTAATTCTATCTTGTTTTCTAAAATTCATAATTCTTTTTGAATTCTTTTGAATATTCATTTTTTTTACATCATGAGCTCAAAATATTGTTAAAAATGTAAGAGATATTTAAGACCAAGATACACGGTATGGACAAACATATTGGGCAGCACCTTTTAGTGACTGAATTCAGGTGTTTCGTTCAGTATTGAGCTGTGCAGCCACCCTTTATAAACATTTGTGTAAGAATGGGTCCTTCTAAACAGCTCACTGAATTTGAGTGCAGCAAGTCAGTGTCTGAAATTTCTTCCCTTCTATATAGAGATTGCTTTGGGGCTTGTGTTTCTGGCCTGTACACTTTAGTTCCAGTGGAGGGGACTCTTAAAGTTTCAGGTTACAAAGACATTTTTGACTATTAACAGTTTAGGGAAGGGCCTTTTTCTTTCCCAGCATCTCTGTGCACCATGCCATAAAGCAAGGCCCATGAAGGTTTGGTCAAATAAGTAGAGTGGAAGAACTTGACTTGACACAGCCCTGACCTTAACCCCATTTACCACCTTTGGGATCAACCAGAATGGAGGTTGTGAACCGACCCCTCTTGTCCAACATCAGTGTCAGGCCTTGCAAATGCCCTTCTGGGTGAAAGGGCAAATATTTCTACAGGCACCGTTCAAAATCTTGTAGAAAGCCAGAAGAGTGGAAGCTATAGCTGTAAACAGGGACCAACTCCATAGTAATGCCTATGAATTCACAGTGGGATGTCAAACAAGCTCCTGCAGATGTAATATGTAGGTGATCTTTGTCCATATAGTGGTTATATAAGAATCTTGGTGAACATACCAGCTGTGAAGCACATGCTTATTATCCCTCTCTGCTGCGTTTCACAGGCCCAGTTCTCCCACATCGGTGCATCTCTTCACACACGGACACCGTTTTCATACAGAGTACCTGTGGACAGCCAGCCTGTCTTCTTGCTGGTCAATGTGCTGTACATGCTGGTGCCTCAGGCACTGTGCTACCGCTGCTGCACACAGCCCGCCTTCTTCCTCAGGACAGCGCCAGAGAAGAAAAATGAATGACAGACTGTCGGGGGGACAGAGAGAGTGCCACAGATGCCAAAGATGCCTAAAATAAAGGCCCGAAGAACTCGCAAATTCCTGCTGTGTTTGCAGTTATTAGCGGTTGCTATTTTAGAGAGGAAACTGCCACCTGTAAACTTCATGGGGTTATGTGGAGGTGCTAGAAATGGACAAAAATGGAAATTGTGCCATCTACTGTTTTTGATCTGCCGCTTTTTATTGAAAATCTCTGTGTGTAAAGCAGCAGCATCCACATAAGGCACACACAATGTTACACTGCAGGCAATGGTGCGTTAGAGTTGTGTAACAGATTGATATGACTCACAATAGTATAAAAACAAAACTGTCGTTTGTCGCTGAGATTTCTGCACAGTGCCTACTTGGCAAATAAATTAATGTGTCTGTGCCTTTCACAGTATTTATTAGCTAATAGCAATTTTTTAAAATTTCTTTTAACTTTTTGTTTTTTTATTCAGTGTGGTTTCAGTCAGTTTGCAGAGTGGGTTCCCTTGATTCAGTTTAGTTTTAATTGTCTGAAAATGATTAGTTTAAGTTTGGTTTTTAGTAGTTTCCTTGTTAGTCTGAGTTTCCTCAATTACATTTTAATTATTATTGTATGCCAGGGGCAAAATTTAGGAAAATCCTTACAGCTAATGCAATGAAATCTGTAACAAACTAACAAATACTAAACTTAAGCATATTTTCTATTAATTTTTTTCTTTTCCAAGTTCACAAAATCATTTAATTTCATTTTTTTGGTCTAGTTTTTATTTTTATTTTGTTAACTAAAATGGGGTTTGTTTGTTGTTGTTGTTTTTAACATCTAGTTCTAATTCACAAGCACTGTCTCCCTGCATTAAACAGTTACATCCGTTATATCTGACACCACCACCATCCCACTTTTAGGCGCTCTCTAGCCCTCATACAATTCTGCTTTCATCTTAATGGGATTAATTGTGATGAAGAAAAGCATAGCACTGAAATGAAATAATAGTTATGGAAAAAATAATAGAAATCTAAACCTGCCCTTGTACTGCCATTGCACCGCCTCTTTATTTCATCCTTTGCATCTTTTATAATCCTCTTGTGTGCTACATGCTGTGTTATTATATTTGGCCTGTATTTTGTTATTTGTTAATCAAGATGCTCTATAAAATGATCTCTGATGATAGTTAATAAAGTTGTAGACAGACTTTTTTTGTACACAGACTTAAAAAAATAGATTATACTGAATAGAGAGCAGACCTTTTATTCCCTTTTAAAAATCAAAGTATTTAGTTTAAACCAGAGGGGAGTTTTGTTTTCAGTATTAAGTAAGAAGGTGGAGAAGTTGTGAGTGGAGAAAGTGGGGTTAGCCCCCAGTTCCACAGGATAGCCATAGCACCATGGTTTAGTCTTAGACCAAAACCTCATTTAAGGATTTAGGAAAACAAAAGAGCAAAAGCTAATTTAGCTTTTTCTAAGGTGGTATAGGAGAGATGAAGACTCAGTTGGTAATAGATGTGTAGCACAGTTAAGCTTAGATAACTGACCGAGGGGTTTTCTGTGCACAAGGCAGAATTTATAGCTATGGTATGGGTGCTGCAGTAGGTGGAGGAGGTCAGATTGTGGAAATTGCACATGTGAAGAAATGGAAACTGTTAAGCATGTTTTGATGGACTGCTCCAGCTATTTTATTGAGACAAATATTATAAACATTAAGACTTTTCTCCTAAAATCAGTAATCGACTTGTATCATTAGGAAGTTTTAAAGGTTTTTTTTAATCTAAAGTTCTGCACCCAAATGGACTACTCGTAAGGATTTAATCCTTGATGTACATTTAGGAAGTACCTGAGGAGGGCAGCAATACGCCTGTGTTCCGTCCTGCCTGCCGGAATTCCACAAAGAAGAAGATAAAGAAGGCAAAACAACTCCGCATGTAGCTAACATTTACAATAAACATTTTTTTAGTTGTGCCTCTAGCTTGACAAATTATTCCACCTGGGAAATATTTCGTATAAGCAGAGAAGATTTTCTCTAATGTTTCTAATTACATGCTGGCGAGAACAAACAACGCGGGCAGAATTACACTGGGCAGCTAGGGTTAGCCAAAGAAGCTAACCAGCTAGCTCCCATTAGCTGCAATGGCAGCGTCCACTCCTCCAGTGATTTCAGCTCCTGTATTAAGGTCTGTGTTTCTTTGTAGGTCTTTTGAACGTATTTATGTAATGATTTTGAGACACGTAGACAACAGTGGCTTCTGCATGCATTTAAAGTGTTGTTAAATAAACGCCGTAATCGTACAAATTTAGCCTTAGGTTAGATACATTTTTATGAGTCTGGTGGTACTAAAGAAACCGATTTGAATGCCTGAGCCTTTTCTTTGCAGATAGTGAGATTTTTTTAGTATTGGGAAAGGCAGAAGGTGGTGTAATATGGCTAACTGAAGCAAATGGCACATGAAGTCTGTCTTCTTCAGAAGCACCAGTGATGGGAAGCGTTCAGTGATCATTATGTGTGACAGGGCACAGGGTCTGCTGTGAACACTGGCTTTTATTGTTTAAGGTGCACTCTCTTGTAAGAGCTGTGCAAGCCCCGGCTTAGTCTCCCATCATCTGCTCCTCTGTTGTGATTATTGTTTTCAATCTTTTTCACTTCAGTCAGAAGCAACGCAGGGCTGCTCTGAGGAAAGAGAGGAGGAAACGGAAACGCCAGGCTCTCGCCCATGCTAGAGAACGAGGTATGTGATAGATGTATGAGTCCAGGTTGTGTTGTTCTCATTTGTCTAGTTGCGGTTGTTAAGCAAATTCTTCACCACCATTTCTCTGTTACAGATTTAAAAAATGGAGCAAGCCCTACTCCTGGAGAAGAAGATGAAGTAAATGAAGACGGTGAGGATGACGATGTTGCAGAGGAAGAAAGGTAGGGCCATACTGACGCTGCTCTGAAGCTGCTCATTCATTGATAGCAGCATAGACCATTTTGCTGCACATGCTGGATGTGTTTGATTTTGTATTTATTTACCTTTAGACAGCATCTTCATGAAGAGTGGCTGGAAAGAGAGCGGATTGCCCAAGAGGAGTTCAGACTGCGTTTGGAGAAGGAGGAAACAGCAAGGAAAAGAAAAGAGGAGGAGGAGGTATAGGGATGGGAATTGACAGGAATTTAGCGTTACTTATTCCGTTATCAATATCAATTATGGATTTAATTCCTTATCGATTCTCTAATCAATTCTCATTGAGTTAGAGAATAAAATGTAGTACAGATGTAGCTAAAGGTATATGAGAGAGCCTCTGAGTCAGTCTCACTCTGGCAGACCTCGTCAACTAAATGTTAATACGAGATGGAGATTATTCATACAGTATGGCGCTAACATATTACAATCAACATGATCTGGAGAGGTTTTATGTTGCTTGTGCCGTAAGTTTCCCCTCGAGAGTCGCCACCGTCGCTAAGCAGCGTACCAAAGACATTACAGTAGTGCAAATTAACTGTGTGGTCAAATGTTTGAGCATGTTGGAGGCACTTCTCCCCTTTGTTATGATCAAAGCTCTGCATGTGTGCCTGATCTTGCTTGTTTCATTCAGTCATTATTCTGGTGAACATGACCAGTTTAGTCTAGCTCAGTCCAGCGCACAGCATCCTGCTGCTGTAAATATTGACTGGAGATCCCAGCAAATCCATTGTTCTGTTTGAGTAATGGCTTTTACAAACTGCAGTTCAGATCAGAATTTTACTGAGCATTTTTAATTATTTACATTTAAAAACACATTATATTTCATTTCGCTTTTGTATGGGATAAATGCCCAGTACAGCTGACTGGATAAAGACAGTCCAGGCATGATGGCCATACCAGCTTGATTTAAAAGAGCTGCATTTGTGGTGAAATGGAAAAAAGCAATTCATGGCACCAAAATAAATGGAAATGACAGCACAGTGGAATCAGTGGAAATGATTTGCAATAAGAATTCCAAATAACTGTCTTTATGTCTTTTTGTGTCTGTAGCGGATGATAAAGGAGGAATGGGAAGCGCAACAGAGGCGAGAACAAGAAGAAAAAGAGCAGAAGCAGCAGGAGAAGCGAGACAGAGAGGTGATATGGGCTCCAGGAGGATAGAAACAAAAAAGACATATATATCCTCTTCTCCATAATCTTGAGAGCTAATGAACCGGCTTAATGTCTCACCCACTGATTGTTTCTTTTGTAACGTGTTTGTGCAACTTTTCCTTGACTGAACCATTTTACTCCTTAACTGAGATACACTCAAAGAGAAAACCCTCAGCTCTCACAACAAGGATGTATCTTTTATATTGTGTGAAAGCTGTGAAATCGCTCCACTAGTGTTGAAAGGATACCTCCCATTAACAACTTTTTTTGTGCCTCTCAGTCTCTGTGAACGTGGTCTTAACCCACAGAAAACAGATATGCTGCAGTTATATTGACTTCTACACATTTTCACCAGCCGTGTCTTTACACCATTTGTAGGAGGCTGTTCAGAAAATGTTGGATGAAGCTGAAAATCAGGTATTCACACACACAAACACGAGTAAAAACTGTCTGTCTTAGCCACAAACCCCCCAAAGTATCATATAGTACATATATACTACTGGTATTTGTCTTTTAATGGGACTTAACTTGAATCAGTTAAATAAAGTTCAGTTAAATGCCACTAACAGTGGAAATTCTCCCAAGCCATCATGACTTCAGAAATAAACTTTGAAAATAAATGAGACGCAGAATGATAGTAACTCATTTCCAGTATATTGTATTTTGTATATGTGCAGATTAGCAGGAAGTAGGGCTGTTCGATATAACGATACATATCGGATGACGATATAAAAACGTCTATCGTTTCATTTTACGCTGTCGTTTGTTTCGTGGTGTCGCAAAATAAACTGTTTACGGCAATATCTTTTCATCGTTTTGATGGTCACTGTAGTGGCTATAACTTCTTAAAGTTCTCTCTTTCTCTTATATTTAATATAACCACACTACAGACGGACAAGCGACCTGTCTGCTTGTTTATTTTCCACATAAACCTTTCACAATAAAGCTCAAGATCCTGTTGAGACTTTTCAAAATAAACAGAATCAGGTGAAAGAGTATGCAGAGTATTTGCAGATGAGAAGCAAAAAAGAGCCGTCAGGTGCTAAAAAATAAACCTTAGACTCAAACTTTAGAACAGGCTTTTCCCCGCAGCACACTGTGTAATAAATATTTACAAAGAAAACGGCGGGTGTTACAACTTATGTCTAAAAATGTATAGTTTCATTACTAAACGAACTAAACAGCACTAAAACACTCGACTCCAGGTACACAACGCCCAGCTGGAAACACTTCACGCAAGTCGAGCTGCCCGAGATTCACAGAATTTACAGAAAATGTAAAATTTTTGTGATTTATATCGTTATCGGATGATAGATGTCTTATATGGGGATATGACATTTTGGTCATATCGCACAGCCCTAGCAGTAAGACTTGTAGTTACTTCTCAGGAAATGGAAAATATATTTCTTTATTTTAAAAAAAATTGCTTTTCTATCAAATCATCAGGGAGTGTGATAATTTTTTCTTTTTCTGTTTAACCAAATATAGAGATTTGGAACAGACCTGGTTTAATGACAAAATATTATTTTAATATTGTTAAATGTTAGTGTTTGTATTGGCTGTGTACAAATAAAAGCTTTAGGCCTTGTTGTCCAATGTTTTTAAACTCAGCCAGATACTTTCATTTGAGCCTACTGTTCATTTTGATGACTTTTCATGGGCTTTTCTGTCACAAGGTTGGCCTTAAATTTTACTCAAAGTGGTATTTAGAAGCTCTGAAGTTTTTTATTTCACTTGTTTATACCTAGAGACGCATTTAAATTCTTTCAATTCAGTTTACTCTAACTAGTGTGACGGCACTTTGGTGTCATTGCAAACATCTCTAAATCTAATAAAAGACTGAAAACTAAGACAGTTTAAATATTGCTCATGGCCTGTCTTACAGCTGGATAATGGTGGCCCGTGGATGAACCCTGAGGCTCCTGTGACAGTGAACTCTGAGAACTTTGGAACGGAGCGTGACGTAGCCAACTGTCCGTTCTTCCTCAAGACTGGAGCGTGTCGATTTGGAGACAGGTACTGATGGGTTTTGGTTTCTTCTGAGTTGTTGATAATAATAATTATAACCATAATAATAATAATAATACATTTCTTTTTAGGTGTCTTTTAAAACACTCAAGGTTACCTCACCCAGAAGAGTTAAGAACAATAGGAATAGACAAAAAATCCTATAAAATTAAGAGCAAAGTTGCAATCAGAGTGAATAAACTAGTTTAAAGAGGTGCGTTTTGACATGCCACTGATATGCCCTTGAAAAGAAAGCGTCCTGGCATGGATGACCCCCAGACTCTTAATCTGAGGCGAGGGAGAAACTAAGGAGTTGTCAACAGGGAATGAAAAAGCTGTTACGTTTGGACAGTGAGAAGAACCTCTGTTTTATCACTGTAGTTTGAGAAGGTTGCAGTAGAACCAGGATTTAATTTCCTGGAGGCAAACACAGAGGGCAGTGAGTGGGAGGTGCTGGTAGTTTGGCATGTGGGTAGAGCTGGGTGTCATTGGGATAACAATGGAAACCGATTTATGGAAGATTTGACCAAGAGGAAGGAGATGAGAAAAAAAAAGGCGGCTCAGGACAGATACCTGGGAGACTCCAGTAATAACTGGAAATTGATGGAATTTGAATTTTTCAGTTGAATGAACGGAGTGCGTCCAGTGATTTCAATAGGAGCTAGTCTGTCAAGAAGAATGTTATGTTAGGTTAAATTACACGATGACACTAAAGTGGCCTTTCCCCACGTATTTGAATGTCTTCTCTCTATGAATCCAGATGTTCTCGAAAACATACGTATCCTGAAACCAGTCCAACGCTGATGATCCGCGGAATGTTTAGAACGTTCGGTATGGAAGAGTCGCGCCGTGATGACTATGACATCGATGCTTGTTTGGAGCACAGCGAGGAGGAGATGCAGGAGTCCTTCCTCGAGTTCTACCACGATGTTCTGCCAGAGTTCAAGAGCGTCGGCAAAGTGTTGCAGTTTAAGGTGAGATGACATCAAGAAGCTTTCCTCCCGTCATCCTGTCTGTGTTGTAAAACAGACTCACTTATTCCCCTTAAAAACATTTATAGATTTCACCTATTCCTCTCCTCTAATAGGTCAGCTGTAACTATGAACCACACCTGAGAGGAAACGTTTATGTTCAGTTTGACACGTAAGAAGTCACTCAGCCACTTCCCGTCTCTTTGCAATTGAAGTAACACTTCAGAGAAAACACATCATTCTTTGACTTGTCTCTCCAGAGAGGAGCAATGCAAAGATGCCTTCATCAAATTCAATGGGAGGTGGTATGCAGGCCGGCAGCTTCACTGTGAGATATCACCTGTTACACGGTGGAAGAATGCCATATGTGGTGAGCTACTTTTTAATGCTGACGGCATGCAGTTTCACTTGAAGACATTCCCACAGTGTTTAGCTTGTTTGTTTATCTTCTTAGGATTGTTTGACAGACACAAGTGCCCTAAAGGGAAGCACTGCAACTTTCTGCATGTATTTCGAAACCCTGGGAATGAATTCTGGGAGGCTGACAGGGACCTGCACATGTCCCCTGACCGCAGTGTAAGGGGCAGTCACAGAGACGGGTGGCATTCGAGCCGATCATGGAGGCAGCGTCATTACAGCAGGAGCCCGGTGAGATCGGAGAGATCTGAAAGGAGACGAGACGAAGACAGGCGAAGGAGCAGGAGCAGAGAGAGGAGGCCGTCATACCACAACAGAGAGGACACACGGTCGTCCAGATCCAGACACAGTGACTGGTGGAAAGACAGGCGAAGGAGCAGGAGTAGAGGCAGGTCAAGGAGCAGAAGTAGAGATGACGAGCAAGACAGGCGGAGAAACAGAAGTAGGGACAGAGAGAAGGAGCATAGGGGTAGAGATCAAGAGAGAAACGGTAGAGGCACGAATGACGTCGCTCACATGGGAACGAGAGAAAAGTCGAGAAGTAAAGAAAGAAGCCCCAAGTCACCTGATAAAAGTAAGAAAAAGTCTAATGATGACAGCAGCACACATCGTCGCCACAAACACTCCAAAAAGAGCAAGAAGAAGAGCAAGAAGAAGAGCAAGAAGAAGAGCCATTTGCCTGAAGAGACAGCTTCATCTGGAGAGTCAGAAAAAGAGGAGTCAGGGGAGGAGACGGTGGAAAACCTTTCAACATCAAGTCCCGGTGGAGAGAGAAATGAGATGGAGCGAACGCAGAAAAACAGTGAAAGTGAATAGTCCGAGGAAATGTGAGGAGACCTCACTGAAAATATGCTCTTTTTGTAGCGCACATTTTAAAATCTACAAATCAGATTTTCCTAAAAATAACTTCTAGAAATTTGTGCACACTGAGATACATCTCCGCCTTACCGATCTGGATTTTAAATGAATAAAAAGGGATGCATTGCAGTTTGTGAGTCCTGAGATCACTGTATTCTGATGCGTTAATCCAGTTTAAAATGCAATGATTTTAATGTAGTCAACATTGGCACTTGTCAACACCTTTTGTGTACATATGTGAATATTTTCAAGATGCTCATTGTGGCACTACATGTTACGTAAAAATATAAAAACAAAAAAACCCTTGCTTTTTGAATACATTTATTTTTAATATCTTTCAAATATAAGAAAAATGTGTTGTCAGTGTTTAATACAAAAACTGATTTCTTTTGCACAAATCAAAGTTTGATAATACGAGTGTTCAACGACAACAGTTTTGATCTTGATAAGAAAAAAAGACTTCCATACAGTTTGAGATGAGTAACTATTTAGAAGTTGTTTCCTTGCACATTACAATGATATACCTGATATCTGCAGTTCATGTTTTTATGTTCCCACTCCATGAAGAAAGTCATGATCAACATGTCTGGGTAGACTGGAGTAATTCCATAATACTGGTTTATTGTAGCCAAATAATTCCCACATCCAGTGACATCAACCTGCAGTTATAAATCCCTTTTTTCTGCTGTTTTAGCCTCCTATAGACACCACTGAGAAGGTAAAACACAGTGTTCTTTGGTCATATGTTAGTCGTTAAGAGTAAGCCAGAGCTATATAATACACAAAATAGTGGTTTTATTTGGGTCACTATCCTAACCTAATTCAGCACTAAGGGAGGAACTGGACCTAAGATATACTTTCAGAGGCTTTTACAAACCTCAGTGTTTTTTTTTTGTTTGTTTTTTTTGTAAGGACAATAAGTCGATGGTCAAAAACACTACAGAAATACAGTATAGCAAACGTGACACTAGTTACACAGAAACCACCCACATATAGCAAACAATTAGTCTGGAAATGTGAATATGAAATGATTCATTTGAAGAGAAGAATCACAGAAAATAAACCTGTATTAAGTGTTAACACAGACACAATGATTATTAAATGTGTAATTTTAGTTACTGGGTTCAGTTTAGCCATGAATAAGTGATTGTAACAGTGTCTGTGTTTCCCTTAACAGCACTGGCCCCAGCTGGTGGCTTTGATGCATTACCATTACATATGAGCATGCAACATAGGAACTGGTTATTTGTTCACTCATTCAGTCCAACCCTTGTACCTGAACATTTTCAGATGAATATGTTTTGTTTTTTTTAACTTGTTATGCCACTTAACACTGGCTGTGAGACAATGAGGCATAAAAAGGTATCATGGGATGAACCAGCATCATCTCTACACGTGTGTAAAAAAAAAAAAAAAAAAAAAAAAACTATGCAAAGGACCAATTTCAAATTTTATCTTTAAGCACTAGGAGCCTGTAACCCCGTAAAAAAACCCAAACACCATTTTTCGCCATTTCTTCAGTTGAATCTCAAAAATGTCAGAAATAACAGTCTGAAGTACAGAAAACTGCACTTTTGCAGCAACAAGTCAATTCCCAAAGAGCTGTTATCTTGGCGTAGTGTGCAGTGGAGCCTTAAAACTGAGGAAACTGGACAAAACGATCTACAGCACCATCTGAAGAAGAGCTTTAAATGTCCTTTCAGAACTATTCCTGAACACTAGTTTCTTGCACAGCTGATTTAAGAGAGTTCAGGCTGCAGACTCAAGATGATTAGACCAAACAGAATTTTTCAGGCTGTATTTCCACATATGTTTTTACATGTTTCAATAAACCACTGCACCCATATTCAATTTTCCTAGCAAAGCATAAAGAATCGAGGGGTAGTTCAAGATTTTTTGCAGTGCTGTATTTTCATGATTCTTTGCTATGTGATGGTAAAACATGAGAAGCACCAGCTGCAGCCACAACACCTTAACAAGCACTTGAGGCCAAACATGTACAGCTCTGCAGTGGGTGATGATGGATTATCTAATGGTGCTGGAGTTCATGTCAGTGCTACATTGTTCTCTGTGGAGTTTTAAGTTAAGGGAGTGAAGTACGCCAAGTGCTGCTGAATACAGTGAGGGAGCTTGCACATAGGGAACACATCAGAACCACAGTTGGCACTACACTGAAAGGACAATACAGGATAGTACAGTACATAGATGGTGACCACACTCACACACACACACAACACTGACACGGTAAACAGGAGAGGACTTAGTCGACACACGGAGGTGAGAATCAAACAAGGCAGAAACACGTTGATCTATGTCAGCCCAATCTCTTCTAAAACGCTCCGTGGTGCCTCAGCCTCCTGCAGAAGAAGACAGACAAGTGCTCTTTAAAGCTGTTATGTCAGGTTCTTTAAGTACCTCTTACAAAACATAATTAATAGTGCATGAGTCATAATTACTAGCTGCTGAATCTAAGATGGGAACAGAGGGGCTTTACAGTGAGTTACAGGCATGCACAGCCAGTCCTGTTATAACAATAGTGCTGCATGCTTTGCTTTAAATAAATCAAAGAGCACTGAATCTGTCCACTGGAAACAGCCACCTAGGCAGAACGTTCTTTAGTGCACTGGCACAAGAGATAGAAAGCGGTATTAATCAAGTCCTGCAGCCTAAGAATAAACATGATAGCAGGTGCAGGTGAGTGTAAGGTGGAGAAAGCCAGCCTTCTGTTTGGATCAACACTTGAATTGTTGAGTAAAATTAATTCTATTTTCACAAAGTCAGTGCTCCAGCAACCAACAGAAAGTTACTGAATTTTGGCAATGTTTCATTTTGAAAGGATTTATGTCTGTTTTTGTTTCAGCTTATCAAATGTGAAGAACTGCTAGCTTTCCTTGTCTTACTTGGCAGTAAAGATAACACCTTTAGATTTTTGAAGAAAACAAAAAATCCCCCACAAAAACCAAACAAACATGATAGGTTTATCAACACTTCGTCATTGCAACCCCCTGTTCATAGTTACAGGTCAAATGGATTTATTTATCTGCTGAAGAAGAACTGAGCGTACCTCCTGCAACAGGTCAGCCTGCTCGATGGCCTTCAGCACATTCTTCTTGGATGTTTCCTGGGCCTCTCCGCCCAGCAGGAACTCATCCAGGATGAAGTAAGCCTTCTCAAAGTTGAAGATGATATCCAGCTCGCACACCTGAGAGTCCACAAAACAACAAATAGCAGCAGATCAGAGGAGACACTGTCCCTACTAAAAATCCTTGCAGTAACATTTTAACAGATTTCCCCTTCTGATACCATCGATCAGCATGTTATGTGCGTGATGTTGACACGACTTACGCTGCCAAAATATTTGTCCAGCAGCTCCACGTATCTGTGGATGATCTCGAGTGTGATCAGCTCATTATCCTGATCCTCGACGGCACAGCAGAAATACAGGCTTGCGTATCTAGTACACGAAGAAAGAAGATATGCAAAGCATCAATATTTGTGACATCAGCAGTATTAAGGAATGCATTAAGACTGTTAAGTGTATATTTGGTAATAAAAGTCAGTCACAAAAAAAAAGAAAGAAGCATAGACACCAAGCTAAAATGTCTAATGTCTGGTCCAGAATGTGATAGAAAGAGCATGCAGCGATATCACAACCCAGCAAGTGTCTGCAGGGCATTTAAAAATGGGCAGGAAGTTAATGCTGAGATAATACACTCACAATCTTTTCTTTTGATACACCTGTTCAAATGCTCCATCATGCAAATATTTGATCAGACAATCACATGTTATGAATACAACACATTTAGGCCTGTGTATTGAACTGCATGTGTGTGTATAATACTGCACTATCATGTGGCTGAACTGTTTGTTTGTTTTGCCTTGATAAAGTGGACATTTACATTACTTATGAGTCATATGTTCATGACAAATCAGGCAATCGCCCCATCTACTCTGATTTTTGGCAGTTATTATTTGAAAAGAAGGTGTTTTTGGCTTCCACGACACACCAGAAGGTGAGCTCTAGATGCCAGAAATCTCAGTGCCTGACAAAATAATCACTGAATCACCAGCTCCCATTAACCACCCCAACAAACCACCACAGATTTACCAGTGATGCAACGAACCAAACGTTAACACATCCTACTGATAAGATCATACCCTGACCCAAAGAAATTACACAACAGTCGGAGTGAAGCTTATCTGGGCCATTTACAAGTTAAACATAAATGCCTGAAGTCAACGATCCTCTTCCTAATGGCTTTTGAAGGTTTCAACCACACCACAGTCATCATGAATTCGGGAACTGAAACTACGCAGTTCTCTTCCTTATAAACGTCTGTTGTCATGTGAACAGTGTTTTATACAAGTTAAAACACCTTTCCACGAGCCAACTCCATCTGCTGCTGAGACGCAAACTGAAACAATGAAAAAAACTAGTATGTGCACCTGGAAACTGGCACTTCACAAGTACCAGCCCTTATTATATTGCTAACAAGGAGGGACAACCATTCAGGAGCCGTCAGACGAGAGCCATTTTGGCCTGACATGAACAGTACACTTGATCAGCTATGATACAGCGAGCAGGAACGCACTGAGTCCACATATCAGGTACCACTGTTTCACCCTGGAAGAACTGTCCCCATCCCACATGTGCCAATATGGACATCTCTTGGCAAAGCACTCAATCCTGACTTCCCTAATGAATTTCTACTTCAGTTTATTTAAGTCACAAATATTCACGCCGAATTTACTTTTTTTCCCCTGTTTATTTAAGTCACAACTTGTAGTGCACGGATTACTGCTTCAAAATATGGCAACAGGTAGTCTGGTGCTGCTTGAGGCAGCAGGGGAGAAGCGGGAGGGAGTCTAATTAACACAGGTAATTAATGTTGGGAATTACTCTCTCTCCTTTAGGTGTAGTGTGTTGGAATCCACAACCTAAGGGAAGAAGCACTGGAAGGGAGTGGGAGTTTGCTCCCACCAGTTGGGATTTAGAGGAGCACGCATCTTGCTTTAATTCCTCTCACTACTCTCCTCCCTCCTGAGGAGAACCGACGACTGGCACACTAAAAAACAAAATCCCAATAAATAATTTTTTGACCATTTCTCAACTCAAGTGAACCAATACAAGTTACTTTGTAGAAAACAAATGTTGGTGCTAATAAGCATTACTTAATCTTTAAGGGCAATATTGTGCTGTTGCATTTGAGGATCTGATCTACTCTTACCTACTGCACCAAAAGCTGAGTGCAAATGCCACTTGTGATAGAAAGGGAGAGCGTGCAGCTGTATCACAACTTGCATTATACACCTACCTTTTGTACACAATCTTCAGGTCTCGCCACTCCAAGAAGCTGCACATTTTGGGCTTCCTGGCCAGTATAGTCTGGACCAGATCCCTGGAGATCTTCTTTCTCTCCTTGTCTGACAGAGGAACATACCACTTCTGCAGCCGCAGCTTTCCCTGCCGGCTGAACAGCAGCATGAACTGCATCTGCGGGAGGAAGTCCAGTTATACAAGAGTGAGATAAACACCGACTGAAGGAGTTATTTGACGATGAGAGAGAAAGATGAGGAGAAATTAAAATAGCTAGAGGGGTTGCAATCAGCAAGCCTGTGGCAACTACTGAATAACACGTTGGCATGGTATGAAACTTTGAATAACCCAGTTGACTTAGTCACAACAATAAGGAGAGACGTCCAAACAGGAAATACACACATTCTTGACAATGATAACACGACCGCCTAGCCGCCCGTTAAGAATGTGTCCAACTTGAAATATTTTACGTTGAAGAGGTTTTAATACAAAGTTGCATTAGCTAATATCAGCTAATCTTAATTGACGGCCACATAATAACCTCAACAACGCGTCTCGTGTCATTTGCGCCCCATCCTGCGAAGGGTTATCTAGCTAAAGCATGCACAAGAAGTAAACACCAGTCTTTACCTTCGACCAAAACGTGAAGATAATCACTCGGATGACTGCTAACTTCACTATGTCCCAGCGAAATACACAAAAAAAAAACGAGTGAAGAAGCTGCTTCTGTGTATCTGCGGTTTAGCCCCTCACCCAGCTTGTTGCTAAACTAGCTAGCGGGTAGTGGTCGATGGTAAGCAGCGATTGAGACGGCTGCGCTGTGATTGGTTTAAAAAGCCACAGCTCTGAAATTTGATTGGATTAAAGATTCCGTTATTCGTTATGTTATTACAAGGAAACAGCAATGGCTGCCTGTGTGTGTAAAGTTACCACTCAGTCAAATTTACTTCTTGTTCAGTAAAGAGCGTATATTAATCCAAGTAACTGTTTTCACGATATATATGACCCAACTCTAAACATAGTTGCGATTCGGTGTAATTTTTACATTTTTGATGATTTCTTTGAAATTTTCTTTTTCCAGGGTTTAATGATTGTACGGCGTGCATCTTTTATTACTTTAAAAAACTAGAACTGGTGCACAAGTTTTAATTTATTTTGAATTTCTCAATTCCACACAAGGTGGAAAGTATACATACATGTTCACATACATACTTACACCCCCACTAATATCTGGTTATCCATTTGCCAGTTGCAGCTTGACCAGATGCGTTTGGTTGCCATTAACAAGCTTCAACAATGCGGCATTATTTTGGCTCGATATTTGAACACTCTTCACGGCTGAAATAGTGGAGTTAATTTAAATTGGTTGGTTTCCTGTCACGGATCCAGCTTTTAAGCATAGTCCACAAATTTTCAAAAGGGTTGAAGTCACAGCTTTGGGAAGGCCGCTCTAAAAGGATAATGTTAGCTTGCATTATTAATTTCAAAACCAGTTTTTATGTGTGTTTGGGTAATTGTCCTGTTGGAATACCCAGTTGTGTCTAGCTGTTGATTTCATTATCTGTGACTACGTCCTCATTTTAGTTTTGACAGCATTTCTAATAGATAATGGCAGATGGCTTGAGCATGAATTGAGGCTGCAGTTTGGGGAACTGTTTTGCCTCAGAGGGAACTAGTGGTGGCTCCTGAGCCACGCAGATCTCCATGTACTAATGACAAGTATAAATTGAAAATGGAAGGGAGGGTCAGGCACACAAAATGCAGCTTGTAGTGTCTGGGGGTCATATTTAGACAGAGATCCAGAAGGGAGGTGTATGGAGATGTGGTCCCAGTCCTGAAATTCAGATAAATTTATCTCCAATTGAGGTGAAGTTGACAAAGTTGGAAGTAGTCCTTCTTCATTATTCCAAAATAGCTTTAGAGTATGATGCTACCACCACCATGCTTGACAGTTGGAGCAGTTTTCTGTAAAACATGTTCGAAAGGGGTTCAAATCCATCATCTGTCTCGGTCTTTCTATGTGGAGTTTGCATGTTATCCAGGTGTTTGCGTGATATGCTGGTTTGCAAATTAGTGGCTTAAGTTGATAAGTTATTCTAAATTGCCTACAGGTGTTATATGTGTGTGAATGGTTTTCTGTCTCTGTGTATCAGATGGGTGAGCTGTCCAGGGTGTACTCCACCTTGCCTTGTGGCAGATGGGATAGACTCCAGTCCCCCCAGAAAATCCAAAATCATTATGAACTTGTACACCCAATTCTTGTTTTTTCTTTTTCTTTTTCTTTTTTAACAGCCATTAGAGACATACGCTATGCAATCATTCCTGGAAAAACAACTTTTTATGATTTGAAGAAATCATAAAAAGCCTCAAATTACCATGACATCTTTTGACCACATATTTTTATGCATTTAACTATGTATATTTCAATTAAATGGTACTTTTAACTGTTCTTTACTTTCCCTGATTTTGAAATCAAGATATACTGGAGATACATTTACTTGAGTACTGGACTAAAATACTGAATCTGCACTACAGCACAGTAATATAGTCCTGGTATACATAAATAATAAACAACAAGGGAAGTTTATGTCTGTTTGTGTTTTTTTCTGCTGGTATATCTTTCTCAGATTATACGTAAAAAGTCGTCTATACTGTCAACATTTACAAAATACACCAACTGTATATTCTTTACAGTGATGATGACTTTAAGGACAAAGAACAATGCATGAATTACATTTTAAGCAATGTGCAAAAGTACAGTTCTGTGGTACTCAACGAGTGTTTTCATTTAATGCTGCTTTAAAATCGAGGGAAATAAAGGGAAACTCTAGCTGAATGCATTTTAATAGCTAGATACTTAAACTATTTACATTTTGTATATAAAATATAAACCCCCCAAAACCCAACAGTACATGTAATAAATCTATTGTTTGTGATACGAGCCATATAAACTAGCAGGATACTCGGTCAGTTTTCCCCATTTCTAAATAAAGTGAATACGCGGCTTAAAGCCTTGGAGTGGAAGGAACGAAAGTGATCTGGCGCCCCCTGTCGTCGAGCAGGGAAACAACAAGAACATAATGTATTTTTCTTTTACAGATTGGATGTACAGCCGCTCACAGACGTTTCTGCCCTCCAGCCTCTCTGTGTTTGTGAGACCTCACGTCCTGTCTTCTGCGAGCCCTGACTCGTCTTATCAGGCGCTTTGACCGGGCCGTGTGGTCCTGTGTGCCTGAAAATTCATGCTGCAAGCTTAATGTTACGTGTTGATATCCTCAAAAAAACAGCTGGATGCTACCCGGCTAGCGAGCGCTAGCAGAGCAGCCTCTGCGGGGATCGAGTCGGCGAAACAGGAGTGGGAGGATGGGTCGCTGCCTGGTAAGACAGCCTACCTAATTTATTAAGCGAGAGCCGGTGGTGTTCGAAGCTTCGTTTACAAAGAAGTAAATGCCGAGCTTTAAGCGGTCGCTGAGACTTAAACTGTCGTTTTGTGTGCAGTGATCAGAGAGGATGAGGAGTCGCAGTAACTCAGGAGTGCGGCTGGACGGCTATGCCCGGCTGGTCCAGGAGACTATCCTGTGCCATCAGGTGAGTTCAGACATGCACCAGAGACGAGGCAGCGCAGTAAAGCTGGAGCACTTCCGCAAAGGTGGAGTGGAGTAAGGGCCCCTTTTTGCGCAATGTTACTGAGAAACGTTTGAATGAAGCAATAATTCAAGATCTAAATGTGGAAGCACTTATTTCAAAATGAAGTATGTTGCATACTGTGATTACAGTTACTGATGCGTTACTACCCGTGTACTAGTTTAGATGTTGCAGAATGTACGTGGTTGTATATGAAATACTTTCATACATTATTTCAGACACTATAGTCCATTTGAACGTTTAAGTCATGTAAACTTTAAACGAGACAACACCAGGACCCAGTGTTATGGATTTCAGTTATGCACATATCCTTGATTTCTCCTTCAGAAGCATTCTAGGTATGGACATGTTTTGCAGCCCATATAGGTTAGAGTTCAGCCAAAAGTGAGCTGCACAGAAATAAACAAAGTGTGGGCAAAGTTCAGGCACTGGAACAGGCTTAGGACTGGAAAGCTATGTACTGTTATCTCCTGGCTCTTGAGCTCACATTGAGGCACCATCAACAGCTGTCTATGCTAAACTGTGACCCAGAGAGTACTCAGCTGATAGGAAACAGCATCAGCTTTCCAGGCATAGCATATACTGATATGTCGGGGTATATGTTTAGTGAGAGAGGAGGGGGTGACACACTGATGTCTCAGGCTCCTCCAAATATAAACTGCAACTGCTGTATTATTGTTATTGGGCACACATGAACTTTCAGTAACTTTCAGTCAAAGGACTTTGATACTTTTTAACAATTTCAGTTTGAATTGTAATCAGTGGGACCATGCTTTCATTCATTTTCAGCTCTGCTCATAGGAGATCACAATAACACATATAAGAATAATAGCTATGAATCTGTGATAGCCAAAGAAGAATCACGCCTCGTCGACTTAAAGTGTGTATTGGGTCCTGTCTGTGCGTTGTAATCGTTGGTGGAGTGTTCAGCAGCTAGCTAAAAAGCTGCAGCTGTGTGTCTTGTCGTGGATCTTTCACACATGGATTATAGAAAAAAGCTCCTGCTCCTTCAAGCTTGACCAAAATTTGCACCAGCCCACATGGATAAATCAAATACTCTCTGGAGAAAAATGTTATGGTCAGATGAGACAAACATTGAGCTGTTTGGAAGAGTAAAGCTGAGGCTTTCAAACCTAAGAACACTTTACAAACTGTCAAGCATGGTGGTGGTAGCATCATGCTCTGTAGCTGTAATGCTGCTTATGATACTGGTACATTGCACAAAGTGGATGGAATAATGAAGGATGACTATCTTCAAATTCTTCAGCTTCACGTCAGATCAACAGCTAGAAAGTTGAAACTTGGACACAGTTGGGTTTTCCAACGGGACAATGATCCCAAACACACCAGAATTGGTTTTGGAATGGAGCTTCTGTAAAGGCCTTCCCAAAGCCCTGACCTCAGAAATGTTAAAGATTTGTGTTTGTGGTACAATCATTCAACTCTCAAAAAACAAAACAAAACAAAACCCTAAATCACAATTATGATCACATTCAGGCTCATGATGAGTGCAGGTAAACTATTGACCACAACTGTATCCTTCACACCACCCCTGTCTTTACTATTAGTTAACATGTCACATGTGTCTTGGTTTCAGAATCCAGTGACAGGACTTCTTCCTGCCAGTGCGCAGAAGAAGGATGCCTGGGTGAGGGATAATGTTTACAGTGTCCTGGCGGTGTGGGGGCTGGGAATGGCCTACCGGAAGAATGCAGACCGCGATGAAGACAAGGCCAAAGCTTATGAACTGGAGCAGGTGTGTTTGCAACATAAATAGAGCGAGTGAAAAAGGGGCCTGTGCATTCTTTCAGTTATGACGGGTTAAATATTTGAGGATAGCAATACTTAGTAAAACTTTAATGAATGTGGGCTGTAGTTAAGCTAAAGTATCACATTAGCTCAACATAAAATATTGTTTTACTCTTAAATAGCTTAAAGTGAAAGTGAATATAAAAGAATCACATTTGTTTTGGTCAGCACTGCGATCATAACGTTTTAGTAGGCTTTAGAAAGAAGAGGATTAAAGAAAGAGGAAAGGATTATTTCATTCTGACATAACATAGTGCACATGCTGAACATGCACAGGCTTTCACCCATACATACGTACATAGTGCATGTACTGAGTGCCATCAATCAACAAGTAGCACTCTGCCCCTAATTATAGAGTAAGGTGTTATAATGTCTAACTTTAAAATCAGGCCAGCACTGATAAAAGTTTCTGATTAAGATTCATTAAACGAATTGCTAAAAATTATCTAATGTGTATGAAAAAAAACCCAATTCATAGTTCTGTTAGAATTTTTTAAGTACATTTTTAGCTCTTGTAACTTTGAGTCAGTGTTTAATAGTCCAAGCTGATAAATTTGCTAACCTGTTTGATAGAATACAGCACATTGCAAAAGTCTCGAGCCCCCCTCCACGGGTTCTTGTGGGAAATGTGAGAATAAATACACAGAGCTACAAGAGATGATTGTAACTGTTTCCTTTCCAGCTTGCTAGAAATAGAAAGTAAATTGCATCACGGTGAGATTTTTGCCGTTTACTGATAGAGCTGTTTTTGTTTGCTGGCAGAGTGTGGTGAAACTGATGCAGGGGCTTCTGCAGTGCATGATGAGACAGGTAAGATATACCCTGGGTTTGAGTATTGGACTGCTGGGCAAACAAAACAAACAACTTGATGACGTCGCTTTGTACTGTGGAATTATTGACGTTGCTGATTAGCTTATGAAGAAACTCATTATAAACTTAGCTAAAGCTATAGACAAAAAACAATGAGTCTTTGGTCATGTGTTTCCAGGTGGCCAAGGTGGAGAAGTTCAAACACACCCAGAGTACAAAAGATTGCTTGCATGCCAAATATGATACTCCCACTTGTGCCACAGTGGTCAGAGATGATCAGTGGGGTCATCTCCAGGTGGACGCCACCTCGATTTACCTGCTGATGCTGGCACAGATGACAGCCTCAGGTACAATAGTGATGCAGACTGCTTTTTTTATGTATATATATAATTTTTGCCTTTTCTTTGCCTTGGTGTTGTAACATCATGTTATTAAAGAATGAGTTTTCCTTTGTTCAAACAGAACTGAACATAGTTGTTATCTTATCCCGCAGGTCTTCGTATCATTTCCAACCTGGACGAGGTAGCCTTCATCCAAAACTTGGTCTTCTACATAGAGGCTGCCTACAAAGTAGCGGTGGGTAATGTTTTTTAGAGGTCTTGTTTGGGTATGTGGTGTCTGGAGGGTGACATATGAGTAGTTAAATGAAAAGACACAGAATAAAAGCTGCTCCCAAAGTATGTGCATGTCGAGTCTTCTACTGTAACACGTCCAGATGTTTGGAAACACTTCTGGGTTTTGGACTGACTTCAGAGGAGTGTAACCACAGGTTTTTGAAACAATGAATGAAAGAATTATTAGTAAAAAGTCAGAGGTTTGTTTGTTTGTTTGTTTTGTTTCTGTTATCATAGTTTAATGATAAATTAGTGGAATAGGCTTTTCAGTGCCATGATGAGTTTCAGTACTGGAGAGTTGCTATAAAGAAATGAAGCCATGACCATTTTTACCACTGCAGGACTATGGAATGTGGGAACGAGGTGACAAGACTAACCAGGGCATTCCTGAGCTCAATGCCAGCTCTGTAGGAATGGCTAAGGTACAAAGGATATGTGATATTTAATAATTATCAGCATTTATGATACACTGTACTGTCCATTCATGGATATAGGGATTCATCTGCATATGCACGTTGCAGGCAGCGCTTGAAGCTATAGATGAGCTGGATCTGTTTGGTGCTCATGGAGGGCCAAAGTCAGTAATCCATGTGTTGCCTGATGAAGTCGAACACTGTCAGGTATCATTTTTAATTAGCCTTTAGCTATGGTAGCATCACCTCTGTTTGTCTTTCTTGTATTCAGCGTGCTGTTTTTCCCCTTCAGTCTATTCTGTGCTCCATGCTGCCAAGAGCTTCAACTTCAAAGGAAATAGATGCTGGTCTTCTGTCCATTACTTCTTTCCCTGCGTTTGCTGTGGAGGATGCTGACCTGGTGGCCGTGACGAAGTCAGAGATCATAAGCAAACTGCAGGTGAAGTCAAAGCATAAACAAGCTGGACATTTCTGCCAAGGAAAAGTATATTGTTTGGTATTTTGACCTGCGCTCTTTAAATTCTACTCTTTGCTTTATTTCAGGGTCGCTATGGCTGCTGTCGCTTTATCAGGGACGGATATCGTTGTCCCAAAGAGGTGATATATTCTAGTATTAAGGCTCATGGGACATGTAAATGCATTACAGCAGCGAAACCAGGGAGGAGGTGCTCTTTTTTAGTGAAGAGTATAGATGTCTATGTTTTTTTGCAGGAAAGCTTATGTAAGCTCCTGATCTTTCTCTCTAGGATCCATCTCGGCTGCATTATGATCCTGCTGAGCTCAAGCTATTTGAGAATATTGAGTGTGAGTGGCCTGTGTTTTGGACTTACCTCATCCTGGATGGTATTTTTGCTGGTGATCAAGTTCAGGTAAAGCAACCAAAGACACTGGTTCATATGCACTTTCTGCTATACTCACACAATCATTGAGTCACTTTGGATATGGCTTTTTTAACAATAACAACAAATTTGCTTTTGTACAGGTGCAAGAGTACCGTGAAGCACTGGAGGGTGTTTTAATCAGAGGGAAGAATGGCATTAAGTTGGTGCCTGAACTTTATTCTGTTCCTCCTGACAAGGTATCCTAGACTCACGGAGAGCACAAGATACAGTTAGTGCAGTTAGTACCTCTGTACACCACCATAGTATGGGTTATATTTTAAAATGAATGTGTGTTTTAAGAGTATTAACAAAAGTATTGCATTAGCTATGTAGGAATTACAGCCATTTTTAAACATGGTCCCACATTTTGACAGATATACAGTGGGGCAAAAAAGTATTTAGTCAGCCACCGATTGTGCAAGTTCCCCCACCTAAAATGATGACAGAGGTCAGTAATTTGCACCAGAGGTACACTTCAACTGTGAGAGACAGAATGTGAAAAACAAATCCATGAATCCACATGGTAGGATTTGTAAAGAATTTATTCGTAAATCAGGGTGGAAAATAAGTATTTGGTCAATAACAAAAATACAACTCAATACTGTGTAACATAACCTTTGTTGGCAATAACAGAGGTCAAACGTTTACTATAGGTCTTTACCAGGTTTGCACACACAGTAGCTGGTATTTTGGCCCATTCCTCCATGCAGATCTTCTCGAGAGCAGTGATGTTTTGGGGCTGTCGCCGAGCAACACGGACTTTCAACTCCGCCACAGATTTTCTATGGGGTTGAGGTCTGGAGACTGGCTAGGCCACTCCAGGACTTTCAAATGCTTCTTACGGAGCCACTCCTTTGTTGCCCGGGCGGTGTGTTTTGGATCATTGTCATGTTGGAAGACCCAGCCTCGTTTCATCTTCAAAGTTCTCACTGATGGAAGGAGGTTTTGGCTCAAAATCTCACGATACATGGCCCCATTCATTCTGTCCTTAACACGGATCAGTCGTCCTGTCCCCTTGGCAGAAAAACAGCCCCATAGCATGATGTTTCCACCCCCATGCTTCACAGTAGGTATGGTGTTCTTGGGATGCAACTCAGTATTCTTCTTCCTCCAAACACGACGAGTTGAGTTTATACCAAAAAGTTCTACTTTGGTTTCATCTGACCACATGACATTCTCCCAATCCTCTGCTGTATCATCCATGTGCTCTCTGGCAAACTTCAGACGGGCCTGGACATGCGCTGGCTTCAGCAGCGGAACACGTCTGGCACTGCGGGATTTGATTCCCTGCCGTTGTAGTGTGTTACTGATGGTGACCTTTGTTACTTTGGTCCCAGCTCTCTGCAGGTCATTCACCAGGTCCCCCCGTGTGGTTCTGGGATCTTTGCTCACCGTTCTCATGATCATTTTGACCCCACGGGATGAGATCTTGCGTGGAGCCCCAGATCGAGGGAGATTATCAGTGGTCTTGTATGTCTTCCATTTTCTGATGATTGCTCCCACAGTTGATTTTTTCACACCAAGCTGCTTGCCTATTGTAGATTCACTCTTCCCAGTCTGGTGCAGGTCTACAATACTTTTCCTGGTGTCCTTCCAAAGCTCTTTGGTCTTGGCCATGGCGGAGTTTGGAGTCTGACTGTTTGAGGCTGTGGACAGGTGTCTTTTATACAGATGATGAGTTCAAACAGGTGCCATTCATACAGGTAACGAGTGGGGGACAGAAAAGCTTCTTACCGAAGACGTTACAGGTCTGTGAGAGCCAGAGATTTTCATTGTTTGAGGTGACCAAATACTTATTTTCCACCCTGATTTACGAATAAATTCTTTACAAATCCTACCATGTGAATTCATGGATTATTTTTTTTTTCACATTCTGTCTCTCACAGTTGAAGTGTACCTCTGGTGCAAATTACTGACCTCTGTCATCATTTTAAGTGGGGGAACTTGCACAATCGGTGGCTGACTAAATACTTTTTTGCCCCACTGTATGCACCCGTTCTCATAGTAAGGGCTACATTATTGTGTCATGGTCTGACCTAATCCACCTTTCATTGCTTTGTTTTGTTAGACCAGTAATTTTTTAAAGCGGTCTTGAGCAGTAATTCTCTAAGCTTTCTGAAGATCTTTCGAAGTTTGTCTTTGGTCATTGGCATCCTCTTTTTCAGTCCAGTCCTCATACCTGACCATTTTCAGAGAAATGCTTTTTATGGTTTGTTGTTACTGACCTGTGAATTGTTCTGGCATAAAAAGGCAAATAACTCAAGGGATGAACCTGTGTTGTATCAACACATAACAGACAACTTGGCAAAAAAAAAGAAAGATAAATTATATCTTGAAGCATTTTGTTACTATCTGGGGAGGACGAAAGAAGCTTTTTTTTGTCTACTACATTTCTTTGGCATATATTTCAATTAAATCACTGCACCTATTTCCCATTTTCCTAGTGAAATATACAAAATGATGGGGGACTCAAGATTGTGCTGTAAATTAGTCTAAAGAAACTTAATCAAAGATACAAAATTGAGTCTTTCATGAAGAATACTTTTAAAATGTCTGTTGTAATATGACACATATGCCATAGGAGCAGCTTTTACATGTGCAATGCTATTGTAGTGTATTATTTTATATTTTTTCAGTATCAAGTTTAACCATAATTCGTTGCATTGTCCTCTAAAAATCAAAAGGTAAAAAAATGGTTGTGCCAAAAAAATGTTTTATTTATTATTTATATATTTACTATTTGTTCTATATAGTTTGTAGAAGTCATTAAACTTTGTTTAATGACAAATTTTAGACAAGTGGAAAAATTAGCTAACTAATGATGGTTTAGCGCTAATTAGGGAACATTAGCATACTAGCATTTGCTAATTAGCTAATTGCTGCGGTTAATACTCTTTTCCCTGTTTTTTGTCATCATCTATATTCTATAAAGTTGTAGTTTTGTTCACCTAAGGGTTATTTTTGCTAATTTTACTCATACATTGTCAATCTGTTGGGTAGAAATATTAGCTCCAGACTCTGTCTGCTCCCTGCTGTTCTGTTTACCTGTTGTGATAAAGACAGGGACTGTTTCAGTGTATATATCTGTTTATTAAGATACCAAAAAAATATGTACCTCTTGCAGGTTGAGGAGGAGTATAGCAATCCTCACTCAGTAGACAGGGTAGCCATGGGTCAGCTGCCACACATGTGGGGACAGTCACTCTACATCTTGGGGTGCCTTCTGGCTGAGGTAGGTCCTGAGCTACACACTAGCTTAAATGTTAGCTAGCCACAAGGCAACTGTTTGTTATCATTGTGTGTATGGCAGACAAATTGGGAATAATGCAGTATTCTAACAGACATTCAATACACAAAAACCACCTCACTTTTTATACGTATAAGCATTCAACGAATGTTATAAATCTTCTGCTTCGTCTTGCCTTTTCTTTTCGGATTAAGGGTTTTTTAGCACCAGGAGAGATAGATCCGCTCAACAGGAGATTCTCTACAAGCTTCAAACCAGATGTTGTGGTACAAGGTTGGTGATTAATTTGTAGGAAACTGATATGGGCTGAGAGTTAAAGTCTGGTACATTAAGCAAGATATTAACTAAACACTGCTTTGAAAATAGAGGGACTTTCAGCTTCAGTAACCAATGTCACATTTCTGAAATTAGTCATTTCTGATGTTCTAAAGTCAGCATATTTTTGTACACACCAATGCACCATTGTGCACACCAATTCATGCAAGCACTTTTTTATGCTTAAATGCTTTTTATCTAACACTCCAATAAATGCATCGGAGAGCAACTTGGGTTTAGTAACTTGCCCCAGGATATTTGGCATCCAGACTGGAGCAGCCAGATATTGAACTACCAACATTTTAATATATTTTAAAAATCTTTAAATATCTAAATTGCTTTTTATATGTTTGTTTTTTTTTAGTTTGTGTTCTAGCAGAGTCGGAGGAGATCCAGGAGTTGTTAAGAGATCTGGGGATCGAGGTACAAACGATGGCAGAAGTTCTGCCCATCAGGGTCATGCCAGCTCGCATCCTGAGCCATGTCTATGTTAGACTGGGTAAACGAGCACTCTTTTCCTTACAGTGTACACCTGTGCATGTGTGTTCATATTAAAATAAATAAGAGTACCATCTGGTGTCTCTGCCACAGGGAACAGCAAGAAACTGAGTCTGAGTGGGCGGCCGTACAGACACATTGGTGTCCTGGGAACATCCAAATTCTACGAGATCCGAAATCGCTCTTACATATTCACCCCTCAGGTAAAACTAGGGCATGTTGTGACCTTGTTATGTTAGCCACATTAACATTAATAATTGAACAATAAATATTTGAATTTCTATATTTCTGCTTGGCCCCCCCTTTGTTCAGTTTCTGGATCAGCACCATTTCTATCTGGCTCTGGACAACCAGATGATTGTGGAGATGTTACGGACCGAACTGGCCTATCTCTCTTGTTGCTGGAGGATGACAGGGCGGCCCACGCTCACATTCCCAATCACCCGTAGCATGCTGGGTAATAACCAAAGCATATCAGTCTGTAATTGTTCTACATAATATAATTAATAATGTACTGTATTTTTAAGCTAATATAAAAAATAAACTTAGATGTTTAGACTGCATGTTCAAACAGGAGATGTCACTGCTGAACACATGAACTGTGAGTAGCTCCTAATTTTTTACCTGATGAATGTCCATCTTTTTTCTGTCTAGATGAAGATGGAGAAACAATTGATTCATGTATCCTGTCAACTCTAAGGAAACTACAGGATGGCTATTTTGCTGGAGCGAGGTTTGTTTCCCTCTATAGCTTAAAACAACAGATGATGTGACTTTTGTATAAAGTTTGTGGCTGACCACTACAGGGTGCAGATGTCAGACGTCTCCAGTGTCCAGACCACTTCTTTTCACACTCGTCTCAGCTTCCTGGATGAAGAGAATGATGACATATTGCTTGAGGATGGAGGCGATGATGATGATGGATATGGAGAGGAGTATAATATCTGTCGTCCCTCGGGTAATTACTTATTGTCCAAGACTGTACAGCAGTTGTGTGGCACAATTAATTTGTCCTGTTTGTAAACATGGTTCAATTCGATTTAACTCTAGATGACTCAGAAGATGTATTTGACCAGTACCTCACCCAGCTCCTTCACAGCACCACTACCAAGTGCCATCTTCCTCCCATCCAGAGGGGGCAGCACCATGTCTTCAGTCCAGAACATACCACAAGAGACATCCTGTCTTTTATGGCGCAGGTCCAGGGCCTGAACGTTCCCAGTGAGTTTCTCAACAATGTAATGACCATGCTAGTTTTCATGCTAGTGCAGATACACTAACCATAGTGTGTATTTAAAAGATGGATGTGGTCACCACAATGCCACCAATTGTTTTGTGAAGCCTTGTCTTGAGCGTTTTGGTTGTTTTGTTTATTTGAGACAAGCACAGTGTCAGTGTGACTGAAAATGTTTGCTGAGGTCACACATTAAGCAAGGACTTTCACCCCCTGCTGGCCATTAGAAGGACAGGCAGGTTTATGGCACTCGAGCACTGGCTTCACCCTCCTATCACAGCCATCTTTTATAAGGAGTCTGTAATGATATAATAAGACTGATGTTAGATTTTTTTGACATCAAAGTAACAAATCTTGTTAAAACACTAAGCCATTGTCAAGCCTGTCAAACCTGCACAGGTCTGGTCTACCTCCTGAACCCAAGGGACGAGTCATCACAGTGCAAGCTGTTACTGCAGTAAAAACTGTGATTGAAGGAATTTTCTAATAATAATCCAGTAATAAGCAAAGGTCCCTGTTTAACAGCAAAGCAGAGACCTTAAAAGGCATTTTTTTGTAATAAGCTGCCAGTGTGTTAAAAAGCAGAGACTCTCTTTTTAATGCTCCGTTTTAATGACACGTATTTTCAGAGTCTTCCATGTATCTGCCTGTGACTCCGGTCAAGAGCAAACATCGCAAATCTCTCAACCTTCTTGATGTTCCTCATCCTCAGCACGGCCCACAGGCGAAACAGCACAAGGTAGGCACAGCACATCCTTCCACCAGCAAACTCACTTCTCTCATGACGTCAGTATTGCTATGAGTACATTTGTCTAACCCTGGCACTTTTCCTTTACTAGTCACACTCTGCTGCTGATCTTCATCTGCCGCGAGACTCTCAGGGCAACACAGACTTTGAAGCATTGGTCAGGCAGCTAAAAGAATGCCCCACTCTTCAGGACCAGGCTGACATCCTCTACATTCTCTATGTGATGAAGTATGATTATCAAGACAAAAGTAGAGCAAACGTTTGATTAAAAAATGTTGCTTTTGTAATTGCCCATCGTGTGTTTTTGTTCTCTTGAGCAGAGGAGCTGATTGGCTGGTGGAGTTGTCAGGTCCTGGGCAGGGTGGGGTCAGTGTGCGATCACTGTTGGAGGAGCTGTACGTAGAAGCCGGAGCCTGTAAAGAGTGGGGGCTCATTAGGTACATCTCTGGAATACTGCGCAAGAGGGTGGAGGTCCTCGCTGAGGTCAGTGTCTTAGGAAAAAGGTGGCTTAGCACCTGGTTGGAGATTATTTTAAACAAAGTGTGTCAGCAACTTGCAGCAGAGATTATGTGCTTGACTTGGACACCTAAGTAGTAAGACAGCACTACCACCAACAGCATGATGATGCCATTCCACATGTAGCCACAAATTGACCTTACAAACATATATCATAAATCATGTATACTTATATATTCAGTCTTTATCCATGTCATTGGTATCTTCCATGTGGATCCGTCACTGTGATCAGATATCTGGACTTGTTCTGATCCAGTGTTGTTGAATCATTGCTGACTGTTTGTTGACCTACCCTATTCCTCCTGCAACAAACAGCTTCAGTCACTCACTCATGCTACAAGTAAGATTTAGGAAGTTCCTAATAGGTGTGTTTTGAACAGGATCAACAGTGTCCATGGCCATTTATTAATAATTCATTCCACATGTATTTGTCCTTTCTGCAGGCCTGCACAGATCTGATTTCCCATCACAAGCAGCTGACTGTAGGTCTACCTCCTCAACCCAGGGAAAGAGTGATCACAGTGTAAGCCGTTATTGCAGTAAAACAGTGTGGCTGAAGAAATCTTCCAATAATAATCCAAGGTCTCTGTCCTGATTCTTTTCAGCCCTCTTCCGCCAGATGAGTTAAACAACCTCATCTACGAAGCCAGTGGTCAGGACATCAGTGTAGCAGTGGTCACTCAGGTAAATCAGTCACCGTTTGGACTGACTGATAATTTTTTCACACACCAATCTTACAGCCTTGAATTGTGTGTGTCTGTCATGTAGGAAATCATGGTGTATCTAGCCATGTATGTGCGCTCCCAGCCCGCTCTGTTCGGGGACATGCTCAGACTCAGGATAGGACTCATCATGCAAGTGATGGCCACTGAGTTAGCTCGCAGCCTGCACTGTTCTGGTAGGAAAAAACACCCAAACACAACGTACACATGCACATGCACGCATAACTGAGTGGTTGAGCAAAGGAATTAAGTCTGCAGAGTGTGCAATATGAAAAGCTTGAAATGTCTTTGTAGGGGAGGAGGCGTCAGAGAGTTTGATGAGCCTGAGTCCATTTGGCATGAAGAACCTACTGCATCACATCCTCAGTGGCAAAGAATTTGGGGTGGAGAGAAGCAGTGAGTTTTGTTGTTCCCTATGCATCCATCCCTCATCCCTCAGGAACAGCTGAACACCTTTGTAATAATCATGGTCATATATTTTGTTGCTCTCACACAGAGTCTATGTATTCTACACCAGATCAGGAACCTTGTTACTTAAAATGATTAATCAGGAAAAAATTTATTTGACTTCCCCTTAAACAATCCTGAATCTTTGATCTGTGACTCCTGTTTTTTTTCCCATCAGTGCGCCCAATCCAGTCTGCAGCCACTAGCCCTGCGATATCCATCCATGAACTAGGTCACACAGGAGCTACAAAGACTGAACGCACAGGAATACACAAGCTAAAGAGTGAGATAAAACAGGTGGGAATAATAGGACATAGAATTCTAAGTATTGTAATTTAAGTATATATATTTAATCTGCTTCAAGTGCCTTTTTATCTATCTATCTATCTATCTATCTATCTATCTATCTATCTATCTATCTATCTATCTATCTATCTATCTATCTATCTATCTATCTATCTATCTATCTATCTATCTATCTATCTCTGAATATAATGACACTGTTCTTCTCTTTTTGCAGCTGGATGACTCTCGCCCTACAAGTGTGGGTTGGCTTTAATAATATCTAGCATGTGACTTTTTCTGACCTTGGTCTAAATGACTAAATCAGTCTAAATCCATAGCTGGAGTGACTCTCATCCCATCCCATGACAGTAGGAGAACAAGACTTGGACTTCAGATAACTTTTCTGCAGTTTGATGAACCAGTCCAGACCTTCATTAAGCTGTTTTCCCCCCACCCCCATAACCCATCTTGTTATAGCATTTGGTCATGGATTGGCATGGTTTGTTTGTTAAAGGATTTCTGTTGTGATCAGCCCTGTCCAGCTATCGTTTTGCTTACAGCAGTCTTTCTCGTGTGCTGATTTTCGCAGCTCTGTTGTCATTTTTACTCATGCCCTTGCTCTGTGTGGCTCCAGCGCCATCATATTTGCAGTGCGACAGCCGTGTGAACCATCTCAAACTGTTCTCTGTCATCTGTCATCCATATCCATGTGTAGATCTTCAGTGGCGGTTTTTCCTTGAGTAGCAATGTCACATCGCCTCGCTCTACGGTAAACCATTTCACCTCGCCTGCTTCATGTCACCTTATTTGTTTTAAGGTTGCAATAGGAAGTATGTGTAGACCAAGCAAACTCCATTCGGATTTCATAATTTATGTAGATATCTTACAGTTTACTCGTGGCTTTACCTATTTAAGGATGAGGATGCTGTTATTTTGTAATCTATTATTATTAACAATGGTTTTAATGAGAAAGCAAGCGCTCACAAATGTACCCAACTAACAAGTATAGTGTGTTAGAGCTCAATTGATAACTTTCATCTATTTATAAATGATGAAACAGTACATATCAAGACAAGATTCCAATTCTTTGCATTATGTTAAAAACAACGTTAACATAACGTTTTTATTTGATCTCATATCAGCACGGGCTCTACTGTGGCCGAAGCCTGGGGTAGCTTGTGATCATAAATCTCTGGGTCTGGGAGACGTCTGCATTTATAATAGCTTGGCAAAAATAACCCTGGGTGTGTTTATCATAATGAAGCAATGTGGCAGCTGTTGCAACATTATACTGTATCATTTCTGGTTGGAAGATAATTAGTAAAGGCACAAGCTATATCAGGCTGTTACTACGGCTACAACACTAGTTAGTAAGCTCTTTAGAGTATTTATCATTAACACCAATAATATAATAATAGCAGCCTTGTCCTTCAGCATATATACTAAAGTGCTTTTTTGCCAAGTTTGATGGAGTGTCAGTATGCATGGATAACTGCATGAAAGGTGGAAAAGCTGTCATTTCGTGGTCTGGTGAGCTAAAAAAAAAGTGCTCCAATATTTCAACCTTTTTTACATGTTTTGGCTCGCCACAGCGGTGCAGTAGCCCTTCCACTCCCAGTGGAATGCTGTCCCCGGTGAGCACTTGTCCAGGAGACGGCCAGCTGCACTGGGAGGAGAGGCAAGGCCAGTGGCTGAGGAGACGCAGGCTAGATGGTGCCATCAACAGAGTACCTATGGGTTTCTACCAAAAGGTGTGGAAGATCCTGCAGAAGTGCCACGGTCTGTCCATCGACGGATACGTGTTACCCTCTTCTACCACAAGAGAGGTAGATACTCGCAGACCTGCTGCAGATTTGGACTTCCTGCATATGTGTGTGTTTAAATTCTGTGTTTTCTGTTTAGATGACAGCAGGAGAGATTAAGTTTGCAGTGCAGGTTGAATCTGTGCTGAACCACGTCCCTCAGCCAGAGTACCGGCAGCTGCTAGTGGAGACGGTGATGGTTGTGGGCCTGATAGCGGACGTAGACGTGGACAACATCGGCGGCATCATCCACGTGGATCGCGTCTTGCATTTGGCCAATGACCTTTTCCTCAGTGACCAGGTACTAACAGAGAAAGGTTTTTGGTCTGTTGCAAGTATTCGTTCACTGAGCTTCACTCTGCGTTACCTCTTCATCTTTAGAAATCCCACGGCGCCAGTGAGTATTTCCTTGAGAAGGACCCAGCAACCGGAATCTGCAACTTTTTCTACGACAGCGCTCCTAGTGGTAGCTATGGCACCATGACCTATCTCTCCAAAGCAGCAGTCACTTACGTCCAGGACTTCCTGCCAAGTTCCAGCTGCCTGATGCAGTGAATGGGCAGACTGGTGTGTTTTACTAACAGACTCTATAAACACCCGAAGAGGCATGTTTCATAAAACTAACTTTTATCACCTCATACTGTTCATGCGGTGCTTGTAAGTATACTCTTTAATAAGCTGTGTAGCGCTCATATAACTGTTCTAACATCGTAGCCTTAGCTGCCAGTGCAGACCTCTGTATTTCAGTTTATTTCGTCTTTGTGAGTCTAGACCGTAAACCTATTTATTTTGTGAACGTGCTGCTCAGACGTATGTTTATGACATTTTTCAATCTTACTCTGTTGTCTGTCTTGTAATTTATCGTATGTTACAGTTCTATTCAGGCTCAGCATTTACCAGAGGAATGTCAATCATATGTGCACTACTTATTCCTCATAAATCAATTTCTGCTGTTATTCTCTATTTTTTACTTAGTAACATCGTAATTTATTGTTCTGCTGTAATTAATGAGATAATTCCCCAGATATGTGGGAAAAACAAGTAAAATATACAACTTGTGCCACAGATTAGCTTTTCACTCACACATGACCACGTTCATAACAACACATGTATTTATTTTTAAGTGTGATAGTTTCCATGTTCTTTATTATTTTGTTTTCATTGCAGCCAATTATGTTTTAGTACTAACAATACTCTGTTTGGGAACAGTTTTTTAAAAATCTGTGTTGTGTGTATAAAGATAAAAATCAGTCTATTTCTGCAAATCTCCAGGGTTATGCTACTGATATGTCTGGTCAACTTTACCTCAACATATACTAAAGGTTTGTTCATTTAGTGTGAAATAAAGAAAGAAAAAAAAGCTTTCATGTGTCTTTTTTAATATGCACATCCATTTTCCTGTTTCACAGAAAGGACTGCAATGTAGTAATTAATTTACAGCAAAAGTAAGTTAACGACTACCCAACAGGTGGAAGTTGGCCAGGTGTTTTCCTTGGCATAGACTAGCAGTGGGTGTCTAGTCTGTTTTCCCAGCTGCTGAAATGATAGTAGGCCTCTTTTTGCTGACATTTTTATCTGCAATAGTAGCGCAGTAGAGTAACCACATGTGCAGTTAATGATGGCTCAGTGTCACTATTAGGGTGTCAGTTCTGTATAACAGAAGAACTGATATAACTAAAAAAAAACTACATTAAAGATTAAGGGAGACTTATTGTGCTAATTTCCAACTCTATAAAAATCCTCATGGACCACTAGATCATGATTACATGATTCACGTTTGACAGTAATTCTTTGTACTGAACTTTGGTGCAACCCGTGCACATTCACTCTCTATAACAAGCTTCTATATCACCCTCCAAGTCAACTTCCTTTTGAGCAACTTCTCTTAGCAAACAGGTTTGAACAGCGCCTCGAGGCAACTGTTGTTGTGATTTGGCGTTATATAAATAAAATTGAATTGAACAGCAAGGGAGTGTAGCTGCTGATGCATTTTGGCATCATAAAGAGCTAAGACTCAAAGTGTGCATGTCCAGAACCATATCCATTTTCCAAAACAGTCCCATCTTTTATTAGAGACTTACAAAATTGTCCTAGTCATATGCAGGCCCGATTTGAATATAAGACATAAGTCAGACCATCTCAGACCTACTAAGTTTGTTATTTTGCAGCTTTTAACCTTTTACTGGGAACTTGAAATGCTTGCACACGGCAAATTTCACAACCCTAGAGAGTTACTGGAGGATATTACAAGACTGTTACCTTTTATCTTTCCTAAAAAAAAAAAAGGTCATTGTTAAGATGCAAATCAAGGAACTGTTTACGATTCCTTGCCAGATAAAGCATTAATTGAAAATATAAATATTGTATTACAAATTGCTATATTCATATAGCTATTTTCTTAAAGTTGCAAAGTGCTTCATAACTGAAATTTTGTAAAGCATTAAAAAAACAAGAAAAAATTAAAAACATTTGTTAAAAAAAAAAATATCTATTTGATTCAAATAAAAAATAAAATAAAAAATAAAAACGTTACCAGGATGTTGTTGTTCAGACAGGGGCTAAAATCCTGAGATGTGATAAAAACAAAACAAAAAAACAAACAAACATTGGGATTTGAATAACATTTGTGCAAAATGTTAACTCACTGCAGCTCGTGGACATTTCTGACTGTTTGCAAAAACTCACGAGCAAAAAAACAAATCCACCTATACCCAACCTCATACCGGTGTAATGACATAATTTCCCCGAAAGATGGCAGCATAACAGTGCTACTGTGATGTAAAGGTTTTCGCTAACTGCTACCAGAGACTGGTCTGATAAGCACCGGTCTGATAAGCACACTACAAATCCCATGTCACTGGTATCTGAAAAGATCTATGGCCTGTGTCCCTGTTCTTCTTCACCAACATTAGCTTTTTTGTGTGTTGTTTGCTTCTAAAATGCAGTTGAACGCTGCTCTGTCGACACAGTTGTGCTGCTTTCAAATACTGTGTGTAAAATCTGTCAAATTACCGTGGTGCGTTCAAGCGCTCTCCTTTTACCATATAATTGCTTCAAATTTAAGCAAGTATGATAATAATAATAATTTATTATAATTATAATTATGATGATAAAAATACACACTCCTTATTTTTTCTATAATTATAGTTGTTGGAATTGATATTTCTTATATTGTCATTTGTGCTAAAATATATAGATATATAATCATTGCCTTTATGTGTCCTAATATGGCTATCAATATGAAGAAAAGGCCAGACAGTCAGACGATTTATTTTCAACCTTCTAACATTTCCTTTATCTGTGTCTGTGCTGACAAAATGTGCTTTCTTTATTTAGAGTGCAGCTTAGTGCAGAGACGAGCTATGTTACATTTGGAATGGACCATGTTCTGTTTCTTGAGGTGCAAGACTTCACACCTTTAAATGTTCATTTGAGATATGACCTATTGCAAGTCCCTGTTTTTATGTTTAGCAAGACGCTTATGTCTGCTTTTCTGCATACCTCATACACACAGTTTAAGTTCATTGAAAGGTCATATGTGTATGTATGGTATGGCTGGAAACACACACACACACACATACATGCACCTACACACACAGAATACAGACACTGATGTTGTTCAGATATGACTGCTTAAGAATGTCACGTGTATTTGTAATTGCATATTCATGAATGATTGCTTGTTGACAATAAAAAGGGCTGTAGCGAAGGAATCAGTCAAAGTTGGCTAAGGACAGGTGAAGGCCTGGGCTGACTTCCCTCGCGAGCCACAAAGACAACAGAGCTCTGTCTTGACTTCTTTTGTCGTGCAGTTATTGAGTGTCTCGTTTTCCAGCGGGGTTTGTGTCTAGATAAACCCAACAATAGTTATTTAGACCAACTAGTAAATGAAGAGAAAATGTGTGTATACAACTGATGCCAAATCAGTTTCTAGCGTACTCTCCATCTCTGGACTCTGGTGGAGACAAGAATACATTTAACTAAACATCTTATAGTTTTGGACAAATAATTTAGGGACCTCCCACTGGACACTTATATTTTACAATTTAAGAAATAATAATAAAAAAATCATCAAATCATACTGATTACTTAACAGCGCTCATATAACTTTTACATAGTATTATAGTGTGCCAAGGTGACATTTAACGAATACATAACCAATGTTCCCTCTAATTTTTTATGTGTCTGAGCGAACACACAAACTCCCTGAGCGATCCCGTGGACCACTGTGAGCGACAGCAGATGCGTGCACTGTGGTCACGCCAGCATCGAGTTACAAGTTACATGGTTTATTAAAATAATCAAATTACAGCATTTACATTTATGTTAGACTACTTTTAATTAACTGCTTTATCCCACTTACAATGAAAATTTAAAAACATCTTGTTCATGACCTGTGTAGTATGTTAACACTATTAGAAGTAAAAATAACTTGAACTCCAACTTTGAAAACACAACTTTTTATTATTATTATTTTTTGCTCTGACTTGTATTATGAGTCTGTGGTCTAGGAGAGAGTCCTGTAACTCTCTTTCTGCAAAATACAGTATATAAAGACCAATGCTGGGCAATTAATTATATAGTTACTTCTTCAAAAAAGTAACTCAGTTTTGCAAACAACAAAGTTTTTTGCAGCTGTTTACCTAAAAATGCAGCCAAGGCGTTTTTTTAAATAAACATTTCAAACTATTTACAGAACAATCAGCTGTTCTGCATCAAATCTGATGCCACACAAATCATTTGTGCCACTCCAAAAAATAATTTCTGTCCACTATGAGATAAAGGAGAACAACAGCCTGATACCTGCAGGCCTGACAACAGGAGATGTATCACTGCTGTAACACCTGTAACATTCAGTAGTCGCCTCATTGTTCTGACACACACAACAAAACTATTGACTACACTACACACTAACTACACAAGATTTGCACTAAACATTGCAAATCTCTCACATCTCAAAACACCGCCGTCACTCCTAAAACTTCCCCCTCCCTAAACAACTAAATGCCATGTTGCCATATCATTTTTTGATTGGTTGACATGGTACATTTTTCGACCAATACGACAGGGTTGGGGATGTTTTGCTCACATAAGGGGAGTGCTTTCGAGCGTTTTCCGTATAAAACGCCGTTTTTACTGTTTCTTCCCACAGTAAATATAAACAATGATAGTATTCAGGAAGAAAACCAAACATTGCATATAATTTTATCATAACTCTGGTTTTACGTGGCCTATCAACACAACTGGTATAAAGTCCACACTTTTTCCGTCAGTTGTTCCGTCTGTCCTGCTCACATCTCCAATGGTTGTACACGTTGTCATTAACGTGGCTTCACTCCACATCAGCCACGCTGCTTTGCTAGCTAAAACACTGATGTCGGCACATAAGGACGCTGTCATAGTCTGTCAACGACGTTGATTAGCTGCGTATATACGAATGTGAATCGCATCATTGGCTGGACGGGAGCAGCCAGTCACTTACTGACTAACACTGCAAAGTTTTAATCTTAATTTCAGTTCTGGTTAGATTTTTTTTGTGCGCGCAACACAGTTTTTCTGTGCGCAGAGACCGTGCCAGTAGTGCGCAATTGCGCACGCGCGCAGTTTAGAGGGAACATTGAACATAACCATTAGAAAAAAAAACACACTAACAAAACTGAAACGCAAATTGTTTAAAAATGTTCGTATCATAAATTTATAAGGTTGCTTTGGAGGAGCCCAGCCAAAAGTAGTCTGTTAATCAAACAAATAAGGACATTGTAGCCAGTAAAACAACTGTTTGTTTTTTTCTTACTCTAACAGTATTGAAAAATGTCAGTCTTGAAGGTGAACAATGAGACCTGCTAATTTATTACAAGTGGACACTATTAAATCTGTCTTAATTTAAATTTGGGGTGTGGTACTAGCTCCTTTCAGCATTTCATTTTGTGACATAGCCAGGAGCCAGTGTCATTCCAGTGAGCATGAGTGAATAATTTAAACATGTAGGCAGTAACAATGTTCCAATCCCTCATAGAGACACAAACTACTCGCCCATCAGAGCTTCATGTTTTGTCCCAAATCCTTCCGGTATACTCAACATGCTCTCTTTTCAACTTTTTAGTTTTCTTGCTAAATATAATCTAAAGTGCTGCTGCACTGGTAAACCTTAAGACACTCGCAGGAAAACATTTCAAAGGTGACGTCAACAAGTTCACATCCATTTTCTATAAGTGACAGGGAGCAAGGTCAGGAATTAGAAGTAATATATTTCTGTGCATTCCCACCCACAGCCAAAACTCTCCAGTAAAGGTGCTTGTAATCTGTCCACTTTAATGCAGTAACACAAGTACCACAGTCAAGACATCTCGGTTCCTTTTA